GAGGTCCCTCTGTCCTTCTCTCTCTCTCTCTCTCTTGCCCTCTTTTTCCCCCAACCGGCCGAGGCAGATGGCCGCCCACCCTGAGCCATGGTTCTGCTCGAGGTTTCTGCCTGTTAAAATGAAGTTGTTCCTTGCCTGTGTCGCCTAGTGCTTGCTCATGGTGGGAATTGTTGGGTTTCTGTAATTAACTTCAGAGTAGGGTCTGACCTGCTCTGTTTGGAAAGCGCTGTGAGATAGGTGTTGTTGTGATGTGGTGCTATATAAATAAAATTGAATTGAACTTAATTGAATTTAATTACCCGAGTAGAAGAGTGGAGTAGAAGTACAAGTACTATGTAAAAAAATGTACTTGAGTAAAAGTAGAAGTATTCTTTAAACACCATACTTAAGTGGAAGTACGGAAGTACTCCATTTTTTTGTACTTAAGTATTGCAAGTAGAAGTATTTCAAAAATTGCTACTCAAGTATCGAAAGTATAAGTAAAAGTACAAGTACTGTGTATATGTATATGTATATATGTATATGTGTTTACAAAAACAGAAAAACTACATCTGCATTAGCAATCAACAGCTCTTCATCCACTATTATTTATTATTCCAGAGTCAGAATCCTGAGCTGAGCCTTTATGCTAGCATGTAGCATACAGCTAGCCAGCTAGGGTAGCTTTAGCTAACGTTATCATACAGCTAGCCAGCTAGGTTAGCTTTAGCTAACGTTAGCTGCTATGTCCTGAGTGAACAGGGAGAACTGAACTAGCGCTTATTTACTAATTTATATGTCATTGTATTTTTTAATTTACCTTGATATGCTTCTTCAGATTAGATGGGGAATTTTTCAAGGCCATAATTAACAATCTTTCGGGAGGCTTTTTTTTATAGGCTATGCTTGATCGTTCAAATCGCCAATGAGGAGCCAGCTTCCCAAACCCTGACAGAGCTATCTATCATTACGTTTACGTATCAGTAACAACCAGTAACCATTCAGCCCGTGAAAAATCAATCGGACTAGAAGCATTGAAATAATCAAAAATATGTAGTGGAGTAAAAGTAAAAGTAGGGGAAAAAATATCTACTCCAATAAAGTACAGATACTGCATTTTGGTACTTAAGTACAGTACTTAAGTAGTTCTACTTTGTTACTGAACATCTCTGATCTGAATAAAGTCAAACTTCCTTTCAGTCATTTTGTACTTTTTTATGGCGACACTCGCGATTACTGGTATTTATTATAATAAGTTACACACATCCGGGATTCTATTTAATAACCACTTCAAACTAAAAACAAACTGAATCACATCCTATTATCTCTGAAAATAGTACAATTCTCATCATAAAACAGAGTAAAACTGAACGAAGTGAAGCAAATGAACCAAAGTGTTTTAAGACTAAACAATAAAATAGCCATAAAGGTAGCCACAAGAATGGGCTGAGTCTGAAGCAGCTGAACAGTGAAGCTCGGGAGTGGAAAAGCTGCAGATGCCCCTGTGACTTCTTCAGACTTCAGAAGCTGAAGTACAAAACCTGCTTTAACTGATGTCAGAATTTTGGATTACTACATTTCTAAAGTGAATAACTGGAAAAAAGGTTGTATTTGTGTTTCTGAATGTCAGGAAGAGCACACATCTTTGATTTTCTAAACAATACATACAGAAAATACAGTTAATTTCATTTGAAAATATCAAGTAGCCACACTAAAGGATCTACTCTATGTTAAGACTGTATATGTCATCTGACTGCTATGTTCACGTATACACACCATCTATGTGTAGACAAACAAACAAGTCTGGGTTTGGGTACACAAAAATCTGTATTTTTTCTATGAGAGATCTGGCCTGTGAGATCTTTTCCAGCCCTGAATAACCAAAGGAAGTGAAGCCTGTTGGAGCCCCCCCCCCCCTGCTTGGTACCCCTACGCCACCTCTTTCTTCCTGAACGCCACGGCCTGCCGCTGGTGGAGGAGGACCTTCCTCTGTCTGTCATTCCACTGGCACGTCAGAATGTCCCTGAACGTGGTCTGGAAGGTCTTGTTGCACAGGGCGTAGCACATGGGGTTGACGGTGCTGTTGACGTAGCACAGCCAGTAGCCCAGAGCCCACAGGCTCTCGGGGATGCAGCCCTGGCAGAAGGTGTTGACCAGCACCATGATGTTGTAGGGCAGCCAGGTGGTGATGAACGCCAGCAGGATGGCGCTCAGCGTCTGGGCCGCCTTCTTCTCGTTGGCCTTCTTCTCATTGGCCTTCTTCTCATTGGCCTTCTTCTCATTGGCCTTCTTCTCATTGGCCTTCTTCTCGTTCTTGCGCTTGGTCATCTCGAGTTTGGCCTTGGAGGCCAAGCGTTTGGCCAGAGCTGCGTCCTGCTGGTCAGGAGGAGATGAGCTAACAGAAATAGTCCCAGCTCCACTTTTCACGGGTGACTGTTGTTCTTCATTCTTGGCTTCCTTGATCTGTCCTGGTGTTTTATCATCTAAATAGATAGATAGATAGATAGATAGATAGATAGATAGATAGATAGATA